TTACTGAAAGGGTCATCAGGCATTGGAAAGCATTACCCAGGGCAGTGGTGGAGTCCCCATCCCTGGAGGTATTTAAGGGTCGTGTAGATATAGTGCTCAGGGACATGATTTAGTGGTGGGCTTGTCAGTGTTAGGTTAATGATTGGACTAGATGATCTTACAGGTCTTTTCCAATCTAGGAGATTCTGTGATTCTGTGACAAGAGGAAATGGAATGAAGCTGCGTTAGGGAAAGTTCAGATTGGACATTAGGAAAAGGTTCTTCACTGAGAGGATGGTTGGTCACTGGAACAGGCTTCCCAAGGAAGCGGTCACGGCATCAAGCCTGTCAGAGTTCAAGGAGCATCTGGACAATGCTCTTAGTCGTATGGTTTAGTTTTATGTAGTCCTGCGAGGAGCAGGGACTTGGACTTGATGATCCTTATGGGTCCCTTCCAACTCAAGATATTCTATGATTCTATGACTGTTGAATGTAAAGAAGAAACCTGCCATTGAAGAGAGAGGAAGGTGCATGGCATGTGAGGAGGGCTCTGCAAATCAGTGCTGGGGTCTCCCGAGGAGCTGAAGCCAAATTTGGGCAATCTGAAGGACTAAGGAGCCACGGCATGGTTGCTGGCATGCTACAAAGGTCTGCAGCTTGCATGCCCATTTGTGCCTTATCTAAGGTGTTGACTTCAGTCCATCCAGAAAGATGTAGGAGTTGACGTTGTCTTCCTCTGTACTGAGCCATCAACAAAACAGGGGGGATGATGGACTCTCCTCTCCTTGGGCAATTTTACGCATCTATTTCTCTTCCTCTCGTTTTCTATTTAAAGCAGAAACTATTCAACAAATCTGCCCCATGCATCAACAGTTTATGAGACAACAGTCAAGCGCTGAGAAAAGGGCTTAGAAAAGCCCTTCTCAAGACTGATAGCTGAGAAAATCCTTACAAAGGGCTAAAAAAGCAGATCTTTAGTTGTTTTTTTTTAAATAATTTATGGCCTACAAGTGCCCAAAAGGCTCTAATCATGCCCGTGGATTGCAGAAACATATCTCTGGAAAAGCCATGTGCTGCAAGTTCAAGGCCTGTGCAATTTAAGATCTGATCCAAGATACTGTTCCTTAAAAAGGTAGTTCCTTCAGATAAAGGAAAGGAAAAACAAGGGTATACTAATGTTTTTGACTTGGGTCCAAACCAAGAGATGGGAATAAGATACTTTCTTCCAGAATGGTGATTTAGTCCTTAAACCAGAGAAAAAAATAAGGCCTGTATTTAGAAAGCCAGCATTTCTACAGACCTACAGACACTGATCTTGCATAAATGTAGAAGTAAATGAACTGAGATATGAGAAAATACATAGTGCCTATCTGAGATCAGGAGATGGGGAGTCTGGAAATGATCAAATTTTCTCAGGGAGTCTAAATATATTAGGTTGAACATCAGTGCCTCAAAGTAAACAGGGGCAAGATAAAAAGACATGGAGAAAAACTTTAAACTAAATTTCATTCACAGCAATTCATTGTTACCAGACTCTTGCTGGTGAGCTCTAAACATCTAAAAAATCAGGAACAAGTTCCTTGAAATTGCAGTTGCGAATTCTCTAAACTGCCTGTTTTCAAATGAGCACCTAATTCCTACCTAATCAATTAAGTCAGAGGAATTAAATGGGGGCTTCATTCCTCCTGTAAACCTCATACAGAGATGCCACTCAGCAGTTTTTGTGGGGAAAAAGTAATTTAAAAGCATTAAAGTGGGACCATAAAACTGACATGCTTTTCCAGAGGAGGCAAACACGGTGTTCGCGATTTAAAGACCTTCTGACAGTCTTTGCCTTTGCAGTTACTGTCTCTTCAACTCTGCACACCCCACTCCAGTCAAATTCCAGTGAAAGGATAAACAAAAGTGGGATGTGAACTGGGAGTGAAGCCACTGCAGCAAAACTTTGCTGATGGGGACAGATGCTGAGCTGGACTTCATGGCAAAGTAGCCATCTTGAGCAAGCTATTTAAATGTATTTTATCCTGAAACGGGTACAGGTTGGTTGACTTCTTGCTGGGACCAGGTGATGTCTGAAAGAGAAAGAAGCCTTGTGATGGTTAGTAGTTCCCTTAACTACCCCCTAGGTGCTAAAGGCACCTAATGTGAGTCAAAACAGGCTGATGCTGTCATTGAGGCTGATTATTAAGAAAATCAGGAAAAGAACATCAACCATGTTCCAAGTATTCAGCATGTGAGGAGCAATCATGTTGGCCAGTGTGAGGTTGTGTCTTCCACAGACCATTGGCAGAGAACTGTTTCATCCAAAAAAGAAAAAAAACTAAGGAAAGAATGATCAACATCTGATGCCTCAAAGTAATGGTAAATGCAAGCACATTTTTATTTAATACCCAAAGTCCCCCAAGCATCTGACAAAAATGATACATGACCCTTGATCCTTGACCCCACTACTCCTTTCCAAAAAATAGAGCCAGGATTTTCTAACCAGCGGCACAGCCAATTTATATAAATTATATATAGAGAGGAGGCATATATGCAAAGGATAGCTATAGCCTGGGATCCCAGCAGTCATAAATACTCTACCCGCCCAACAAGCTGTCATATTGCATTGTGTGAAGTTTTAGATAGGATATGCCTTTCACATGACTAATGCAAGAACAATGAAGACAACATATGTTATGATTTAAACTACAGTTGTCCTTCTTTATGGGGGGAGAAAACAAGTACATTTTTTCTGAACAAAACCTGAGCATGTTGTTTGTCCAAGGCTTAACCCTGCAGTCAGCTAGGTCTGGTAAAAGCCCTATTAACTATTATTTATAAATGGAAACCAGTGAGATGTGGGAAATAAGGAAAGAGAGTATGATGTTGCAATGTGTATTTATATTCATAAATATGAAGTATTTTTTTCAGGTTCTGGACACATGGTTTACTATTTTATCTGACTTGTGGTGGCTATCTGGGTACATGCTCTTAGTCCACAGCAAATTTAAACTAATTGAGCCTATTTACTGCTTAGCCTAAGGCTAAACTCTGTTACTTCCCTTTGCCACTAACCAAGAGCATGCAGATAGCAATTACCATAGCTCAGCTGCAATGTGGTAACTCCCCAACCTGTATCAACAAAATCATCAGTGGCATGGAGAAGGTGAACCGGGATCACTTGTGCAAGAAGGAAAAGGCAGCAAAACCACCTAGATCAAAAGTGTTTGCTTGTCACTCAGCATAGAGCAGACCCATGGGACTTCATTGCCATGGGATGCCATGGGTGCTAAATGTCTCCTGGAGAGTTTGGACAAGCACTCAAATGAGAAAAATCACTGAAAATTACTTAATGGACAAAAATGATATCCAGTTCAGGAGATGCCCTGAGCTACACATAGTAAGACGCAGAGGACTGGGGAAGGATTACACATGCTCGCTCAGTTCCTCCTCTTCCTCAGGCAGCCAGTGATGCTGCTGTTGGAAACAGCTGCTGGGCTCGACAGACCCTCGGTCTGACCCAGTTCTCATCTTGCTACAACCCAAACTGTTTGTGTGCCTGAGCCCTAAGGATCAGCTCTGATCTGGTGGGTGGATTTCATTTTGTTAGCATGACCAGTCACCAGGGAGCCACAATGCCTCTTGAGCAAAACGTTCTTTTTGTAGACGTTTTAGCTGGTAATATATTTGAAAACAAATTTGCAAGTCCATGTTGATTTCTTGCTGCTCTCAGAAGGACATCCAAGCCATCCTTGCAACTGCAGAGATGCCTGTTTGCTGAGCTAAAACTAGTGGGTATTTTGACAGCCCTTTCTGTTTCTGCATCCATGTTGCAGATTCAGGGAGTGTTTTGGCAACTAAAAACAAGTAAAAGCAGCTCCCTTACTGCATTCAGCACCAGCTATATAACATGATATTACAGAGGTTAATCAACTAAATTGTCCTGTGTTTTAGGAGTGATAAATACAAGCCCAAAGCTTGCAGTGGCTGGAAATAAACAATCAGGTGGATGGTTGTATTTCCCATATTTCACAACAGATAGAGGCTACAATAAGATTTCTTTTCTTTCTTTTTTTTTTTTTAATAAAAATAAGGAGGTAAACTTCCAGTGGGAGGGCCTGATCTTTTATTAATATTGTGTGAAATGCAGCCTTCCTCATCTGCCACAACCTGGAGAAGTCAAGATGATGATGGCCAGGATGTGTCCATACTGACATATAACCCCAGCCCAGCCATAAACCAGCTGCCTCAGTACAACCAGGTAACGACCAGGTAGTCCTGCTGCCATTCCTCCCAGGACTTCGATAAATACTACTGCCCAAACCGCCTTGTTAATACTGACCCAGGTGGGTCTATGGGAGCCATCAAGCTTCACCTTTGGGCTGCAGCAAGGGCTTGCCATTAGCAAGCAAGTCATGGTTAATGCAAGATCCTCTCTTTTAGATGAAGATGGGATGGGATGAGATGTCATCACAGCAGTGTGAGTGATGCATTTGTTACAAGATGCTGCTTGGTGCCTGAATAACAACACAAATGACTATGACGGTGGTACTGAGTGCTGCTCTGATGTTTGTGAAACCAGTTAGGATGTTCAGCAGCAGGAAACTGTCAGAATCTCTCTCAGCAGGGCACTGCACACTCACCAGCTGATGTAGTGATTTTAATAAAGACAGACACAGATCTTTATTTCTATCTTCTAAAGCTCACTATGTTATGCCAGGCTGCATTACTCCATGTGTCGGTATCAGGCTGATAGCATTAAATTGCTAGGAAAGTGCTATATTGGCCTGTGAAAAAGGTACTGCATTAATAGAGTCAGTGTGTTGGGATAACAGGCTGGATGGCTTTGCTTTGGAAGAGCTATCATTATCTGTGCTGCAGTGGTGGCTGTAAGCTCAGGCTGAAGCTGGGGACCCATTAGAGGAGATACACCAGCACGTGGGGAGATGGGGGTATGTCTAGACAGGCAAGAAGGTTGCCTTTCCTCAAGTAAAAACATTGTCCCAACCTTTCCCACCCCCTCAAGTCACCACCCTGACCTTTGTTGTTGTGCCAGATCCACACTTTGCAGAGATCTCCCAGGCTCAGCATGTCAGAGAAGTTGAATTTGTCCATCTGGTTCCTCTCAAACTTTTTAGACTTGGACTCCTTCAGAGCCAGGGTCCCGCTGTCCCTGTTCTCCCCAAACAGGATCAAGGACACATTGGCATCAGTACCTGCTCCTGGAAGGAGAGAGCAAGGCACTTTGTCACAAGTTGACACCCAGCCCCCAATTGCATGGAAATGGAGGCAGCAAAGACAGGCAGTGGCTGCAGAGGTTGCAGTTATGATCAGGTTTCTCTGGGCACAGCCAACGCATTTCAGTGAATTTGTGCAGGATCCTGCAAGGAGGACACCACATGGTAGCTAACAAGCCACCCTTCCAGCCCATCCCCCAAATACAGCTGGAGCACTTCGCCCTTGCATTCAAGGTATGGTGACCATGATGACAGACAGCAGTACTAATAGGCAGCAGGATTTTTCCAAGGCGGCTTGGGAAGCGAAGTGACTTACCCACCTATCTATGAAAGAGCGTTAAAAGAACATATTTTAACTTTTCCAGCTGTCCTGGGCTTCCCTCTGGGCCACAGTCCCTTTTCCTGTGGCACACAGGACATTTCAGCTGGGGTCTGTCTCACAATACTCTCCCTGTGTTTTATGGCACAGGGATTTAAAAGCAAAATGCAAGCTATCAACCAAACTACTACGGCATCTTGTGGCCCACTTTTCCCTCCCTTCCTTCTATATTCCTGTTTCTCAAAATATCGTCCATGATGCATTTAATGGAAAAAGTCCCAGTTTCTCATACAACAGTTTGCCCCACCAACTCCCACCTCTTCCTATGTATAAGTTAGGAAAAGAATAATTTCTAAGATGATCTTTATCACCTGATATTGAATTTCATATGCCCATTACCATCCATATTTTGCCACAGAAAACAGCCATGCTGTCAATTTTCGTGACTTTTGGAGAGTTCAAGGCCAAACCATCACCTGCAGTGACCTTACGATCATTTTAGCTGGAAGTGTTACAACGTTTTTACCTGGCAGTATTTATAATCTGACCCAAATTATTGCTTTTTATTTTTGATGCCATAATAAAAAAGCAGATTCACAGAAAGAAATTTGATTCCATGTAGGCAGACATTAATTGCTGTGTCAGAACAAAAGCCCTTACATTTTGGAAAATGAAAATGAGATCATCAAACCCAAATCTGTCTTACAAAGAAACTCAGCATCTGCTGCCCTCGGTTAGATAGTCCAGCTTTGAAAACTCTAACTGCCTGCCAAGCCATTTCTTACACAAGAATATCATACATCCACTTTGGGCCACACAGATGGTATTTCCTACAGCTCCATTCACAACACAATGCAGAGACAAAGTTGGGGGGAATGAAAACTTTTTGAGAAAGCTACCACTTCTTTGGGATAATTATTTGAATACAGAAATGAGGAAGAAATCACAATTCTTCTTATAGAAGGACTGAAAAAAATACTAAAAGAAAAAAAAAAAAGAGGAGAAAGAGAGTCATACAGAGAAAAGGCAAAGCAACATTTGGTGTCCACATGAAAAATTGCCTATGTTAAATTTGGGCTAATTTTCAGCAGTTCCCTGGGAAGGACTTAAGAAGGAAGAGAAAGCATCAGGGATTCAGGCAGTTCATCCAGCAGTACCTTTTATGACCCTAAAGCTTGCTGAGGTGAAGGAACAAAGCAAACTGAAGTCCATTTCCTTACAAGGAGCAGGCTCCCAATTAACACAAGGTCTCAAAAAGCACAGAACTGACTGTTTCTTAGCAAAACCTTCCCTGCTTATGAAGGCCTCATGCCATGACATTTCCTTCACAAGCAATTATCAGGAGATGGGAAAGAAAAGAACAGAAATTGCTGAATCAATGCACATTTCACCTATTTGGGTGTCTGATTTTTGTTGTTGTTGTTGTTAATTCCAGGAAACTGT